AATTGCCACATATGTCCTGTGCATAATCCATCTATCATGGAAAGGGCCTATGATTGATTGGACTGTACGTGTGCATTGCCATACAAATTGTTCAGGAAGTACACTGACTTTCAGACAATTGCATATTGTTCGTAGAGAAGTTCTTTCACTTTGAAATATTCTTCAGATATACATCCTTCTACCGTAATTCCACCACCATCAGTCTGAAATGAAGCCCACACATTAGAAATTAAAATTACAAAGTGAAATTGTTAACAGTTGAAGTGTGCCCTTTACTTATCATCATGTTCTTTGCTATTCTGTATATAAATTGCCTTTATATACAATGATGTACACTTATTATGAGATACCCCCTTGGGCAGTGACTGCAGTGTTGCAGTTTTCTGTGATGGTCAATCATGCTACATCTGATGCCCATATGCACTGCCTACATATTATTATCAATGCAACCACAACAATTAATACTTGCAACCAAAGCTCAATCAAACCTTACAAGGAAAAGCATGTAAAGCAATTTGCTAGGCAATGAAATTTAATTAAATATGAAAGAAAGATATTATTTTGTAAATCAACATCTTGATACACTGAGTGGTTTGCCTACACACTTTATAAAGTATTCTGATATATCTTTCGCTGTCTAACAGTGGAAGTAATAGAAAATTCTATTATGGTTTAGGGCTGTTCTGTATGTAATCACGAAATAAACTTCACATTGATAATGCAACAATATGTGTTGTGGCCTTGATAGGTTTAGATAAGAAAGTGGGCCCTCTATGTTCATTTGTTATGATAGGCTTACGACTAATAGTGTAGTGTATCGGTGGGCAACCACGCTGGCTACGTTGATCTTTGACCTGTGTGGTACAGTATATATCCTATGTTGATTTTTTGTATTTGTTTCTTGTTGCAGTTTCACAGGAATATATGGAAAATTAAGGAACAAATGCGGTTCATTGACTGTCAGTCAGAATAAAGAAGATATCCATCCGTCGGAACCACATACTGCTGTTTATGTCTCATTCATTCGTCAAGAAGTTTATCATAATAGGTGTACTTTTACCCTTTTGATTGCAATGAGATTGTTACAGACCAGGACTCCACCAGACATTTCAACGTTGATGCCATTCCTGGCTAGCACTTGTTTTAATGACTGGAACCGTGGGGCATTCAAGAACACTTGCTCATGGTCTAACATCTTGAGAATCAGAAAGAAGAGAAACAAATATATATAGTATAGATTATAATATAGACACAAACATACTGTACTATAAATATGTATGTTTATAGTTGTGTGGATAATGTAAATATTTCTATTGTGATTTTTCTTGCAGATTAGAGCCTACGATGGCTTGCACCACAAAAATTTGATATCAAAATTGCACTAGAATTAAGGAATGAATAACCAACAGATATATTTTTAACTATATTGGAAGATGCAATCCATGCGAAAACATACATTGTATTGCAGCACTAATGGAATAATTATTTAATTTGTAAAATTCTTACCTCCGTTGTGGACAATGGCTCCAAAGTGGGCACATCATTACTATTTGTAATAGCTGTAGAACAATAGGTGAGAAATAAAATTAGGAGTAACATAAACTACAAAAAGAACAGGAAAATGTTTCTCTGTAATAGCAGTTTGTATTAAGGCTAGTCATAGGTGACGATTTAAGAAGGTGAATATAACAGAAAATTGCAAATTATATATTGGTTCAAAATGAAGGGATCAGTCTCCCTTATATGACACGGTTACCACTTCACCACTT